TGGAAAAGCCAAAGACATGAAGCTCTACTGTCATGGAGTTTAACTTGGAATACCAAAGGTCGTTTTGACTCTGCCACTCTGCCCCTCAGCAACTCCCCATGATTCAGTTGCTAATTTATCTAACCATGAATCCAAAGTGAAAAGAGTCTCTCCTCCTTTCTCATTTCCTGTTCATCACCATAGTGTATAGGAGCAGAGATACAGTAGTAAATGAAATTAATATATAGAGATTTTATGAACTATTGTCTTCATGATTGCATATTTTAATTTGGTACTTGCCATTATTTTTCACACAGTCACATAAATGAATATAAACTTGACAGCTATGCTGTCTATTCTGAGAGAGGTTGATAAGACACAATGGGATATTAAGTTAGGAGGGGAGATTAAGGAGATGTTTTTGAGGAGTTTATACTTAAGGAGAGTTCTGTATTAATTGGCCAGGGGATTTAGGTTAGACTTATTGCTTATGCAGACTGGGGAATGTAGTTGATCAGATACTGGAAGAAAGCCACTGTTGTGAGATCCTAAGAGCTAGGGGTGTGGCATCTAAAGAGGCTGGAGGCACAAGCTGGTTCTTGGACCCAAGGCTCTGATAGTTCATGGTCAGGATTTGGGTTACCTCCTGAACAGTGTTGACACTGAGTTAGACGGCTAGGGTTATAGCTTGAATAAATGAGCTAATAGTTTAAATGTCATTGAAACATCAGAGTAAGAGTTCTATAGCAGTTCCTTGAAGCAAGAAATGAGTGGAAGATGCTATGGTTTTTGTGTTGAAAACATAAAATGAGTCTAACTCATAGAAGGACAGCCATACCTATGCATGGAGTTGAGTTGTTGGGGTAAAGGTATATAGCATCAAACCTATTTGGTGGATTGTCTCAGTAAAGATGATTTATGCTATAAGTGTAAGAGATCGTGTGCTTTCTCTTAGAAAGTGAATGTATATCATTTGTTTTAGAATCCATTGGACAAGTCAAGGTTAAGAAGAGGAAACTAGGTTGATCGAATATGTCATTGAAAGATTAGAAGTAGGGCTACAATATGGGTGTTTGCTTGTTTGTTTAATGAATGGGGACAACAGAGTAATGGAAAAATAGTAGGAAACAAGAAGAAATATGAAGAGGCTCGCTCAGAGGTTGCTACATTCACCCTGGCAGCAGATAATAGGGGTAAGATTGCTATGGATGAGAAGAAATGTGGTTCTAACTTCTGTATTCCCTCTGGTCCGTGCACAGCTGTAGTTTCAGTTCTTTGACTCCCAAAGGAGAATTCCCATGAGGACCCAGGCAGAGCAAGTCAGTAGTCAGGTTTTATTTCAGTCCTTAAGAAAGTGAAGTACTTCCTCATTGGAGTACTTCCTCCAGAGTGGGAGCTCACCAATCTGTGCAGTGGCCTCAAGGGGCTACTCTCCTAATTGACAAAGACTTTCTCGTTTCTGTCCTCTCCCACAGTTCCTCCTGCTAGCTAGATGTATTCGATGTAAGAGTGTGTTTAAAGATGTACCTCCTCAAAGTTGAGAAGCTTTCTAGGGGAAAAGTGCCTTGCGATGCTCCTCAGGGGTTCTTTCAGAGGAGACTGGGGGGTGCTGGGACCACTTTTGTTGTTGTCCCTCCCATCTGGCCTCCTTGGCTGTCTCATACTCCTTGGCAGACCCTCTTAATTAGTCAGCGTTTTAACCCTAGCATTCCTTTTCCCTGTGTTGGAGCCAAGACACTGGCAATGGAGGGAGCTAGGCAACATTGAGCAATGTTAAGAGAGAACGATGGAAACTTGGCGATCTTGGGGTGTGTAAAAGTGGTGGAAAGGAAAGCAGATGCTCATGTTTTGTTAGAGTTGTCACACACCCATGCCACCGCCAACACCGTCACCTTCACAGTTTTTTAAAGATGAGAGAAAGTTATCTCAGGTGAGGTACCAGAAGCTTACATCAGTGGGGTTTTTCTAATTTATTTTTTACTTCACACTACAACAGTGGTAGTTATATTAGAACTATGTCTTTCTGTCTGGACCACCAGTTTCCACTGTTTAGGCAAGGAAAGGGATTGATTGTACCTTACCTGGTGGTGTTCTTACTGTCCCACTGTAGTATAACAATTCTGATCCACCTGCCTCCTCCTCCTGGAGTTCATGTTGTCAACCCAAACCCTCATCAGTGTCAGGTACCCTTCTGGGTTTGCCCTGAGATGCGCCAAGCTGACTGAGCATGTGTCCACCTCTCCTGTTTTCATATACTCTCACAGTGCTTCTGCAAAGAGGAGTTATGGGACACTTGCCCTTCCCTTTCTCTGAAACGGAGAGACAGAAACAAGGTTTCAAAGGTTGTGATGAAAGTTCGGATGGCAGCACCTTTCTAACTTGGGAGGCTAGCCTGTGTCTTCTGTGTGTAGTCTGCCAGCATTAATTAAAATGCACTGGCATTGGCTGCTGAATCAAACCTGGGTCCAGGGAACTTGTGGTTGAGGGAGGGTGAGAAGCCAAGTTTTAACTGCATCACAGGATGCTGAGCCTGGGAGCCACAGATCCTACATCAGCTCATTGCCAGTCAAATTAAGGGAATGATGCAAACCTAGTAGATATTTAATGAGAGATTATTTCTGGGGATTATAAGGATACAGAAATTGCAAATAAATCCCTGACCTTTTCTGAGCCTTGGCTCAGTGAATGGGCTGAATCACCTGCCTGAAGGGATTAAGGACAGCCGCATCCATCTGGCGGGCTACTTTCTCAGTCATTTGCAAACTCTGCTCCATGGTGATAGTGTTCCAGACCTTTTAGTGGGAATTTGCTTTGCAGACTAGATCTCAATTGCTTAGATTAGGAACCCAATGGGCCAAAATCAGAACTAATGTTCTGCTTATGTATACAGTGGGGTCCCTGTCACATTAGTGATACTTAGTCCAAAGTTAATAACATGTAGTTCTTAATTATTAGTGATACAGTCATGATGTCAGCAGGAAATTCAAGTTGATGAGAGTAGAATTTAAACTGTGTATGTCTGTGTGTCCGTGTCCATGTATCCATCCACATGTGTATAAGGATAGAGACAGAGGACAAAGAGAAAGATGGAAAAGTCCAGGGGAGTGGTAGTGTAATAACTTGTGTCAGTTCTAGTTTACAGATTTAGAACAACGGTTACTAAACTGTACTTCATGAATTCTTGGGAATCTTGTTTGATGTGGGTTCCATTTCTTAAAATAATTTTTCCGTTTACAAAACTAGATAGGTAACACAATATACAACTGTAATAAACTCGGCTTAGCAGAGTTATCTTGAGCTCCTGTTTGGCTCCTCAGCATGTCAATGCTACATACATTTGACAACTAAGATATGCTGATAAACACAGCATTACCTGTGTGAACAGTGGGGCATTTTAGTTTAGCTTTTTATAAAGGGGGTTTACTTGCCTTTAACAAATTGGAAAACCAACCTGAACATTGAGTGGGGGAGAGTCTTTGCCATTTTCAACAAAAAATATAGTTGATATAAGTTGGTAGAATTTAATTTTTTCTGGATATATCTGGAAAGTTCCATTGCATTTTCTTTCTTCCATGTACCACTTGCCTAGGAATGACTCTTACTTCCTCGTTGTCCTGGTGGGTTATCTAAGCAGTGGGACCTTCTCTCTCAGTTGCCAAGTTCTTTTCCAGTTTTCTAAAACTTTTGTTGATGTTTCTGGGGTAAGGAAGTGGTTTTTGTCCAAGATGAAGTTCATCTATGTTTAGAAGGAAACTGCGTTCACAAGCCTGTTCTTAAAACATCCAAGTTCAGAATCCATCTCACAGCTCTCAGTATTCAGTACACAATGGGAGTTCCTTTCCCCAGACTTCTGACCCCAGTGCCTTTGGAAAGATACTCTGAAGCGCTTCCCAAAAAACAAAGTAAAGGCTTCCGCTGGCTACAAAATAACAGTTCTAAATATTTTGGAAAATTCCTTAAGCATAAAAAGATAATTCCCTGCCTGACACCCATGTTCCCAATGGCTGTGTTCTGAGTAAGAATGAGAATTGTGGCCTGCACATGATAAGATGCCTAGTGTCCTTATTTACCAGATGCTGAACAAAGCCACAGCACGAAAATTCTGATACCCCTGGGATGACTATGATGAAAGGAGACAATACCAGGGATGTTCAAGGACAAAACTGATCCTTCCTACAAGCTCTGCTGTGCATTGCATTGCTGGGTAACCACAGTTGGGTTGAGGTTCTGTGGATGGCCAGCCTCTTCATTGCTACAGCTGTCCCCTGGGAAAATGTTCCTATGGGTTGTTTCATTTCCTGAGTAGCGCTGGGAGGGATTGGAGCAGATTGAAGACCCTTTGCGCCTGCTGGTGTGCCATGGAGAATGACTCTGCTGCTTCTGGGAATCGGATAGCTTCTTTATTCTCAGCTGCTTCAATGTTCCTCTGGGTCACTTTCCCCCTCCCTTCCCCCTTCATTTTTCCAGTTTTTCTAGTCACCGGAACAGACTTTAATTCAAGGTCACATTTAAACTAGTTTGGTGATCTGGCCCTTGGTGTAAGTTGCCACACGTTAACTTGGCAACTTTGGTCGTATTTAGCTTTTCCAGGCCTCAGTGTTTTCATCTGTAACATGGGGTTCAGTTCCAGAGGAGCTACGAGACATAAGCTAGGTAAAGCACGTTCCAAGTTTGTTTAAAGCACTTCACATTCACAGCAAACTGCAGGCAGTTATGCCCGTGACTCCAACTGGAAGGCTCCTTCACTCTCTGTTGCCATTTCTTGTTAGAAACTGAGGGTAGCGCCAAAGTTACTGTGAGAACTAAGATGATACACGCAGAACACTCAGCACATATCTAGCATATGGTAGGCTCTGTGTCAGAATCACCTATTTTTAAATAATTATTTTACTTATTTATCTTCGTGTGGTGGTGGGAGAACTGTGACCACACTGTATGGTTGCTCTCCAGTGTGTAACCCTTACAGTGAACCGGTCTGCACGGGCGGACAAGGCCTGACTGTGCTGCTCTTGCTCTTGCAGCTGCGCAGTTGGACAGCGTCGGCTTCAGCATAATAAGGAAATGCATCCATGCGGTGGAAACCAGAGGTAAGTAGTCTAACAGATGGTGTTGTTCTCATGGAAGACGGCTGGTGTTTCTACAGGTCACCTTGGTCTGAAGCAGGGGTTCTCCACCCATTTCATGTCATCCATGTCTCTGCTTGATCATGAGAATGTCTTACATGTATACAAATGGAATTCTTACTCTCAGGGAAACCAGGTCTAAAACTTAGTTATTATTAAAATTATTGAAAATATAGCTGCAACAGACTGGTAGATATGCTTCCTTAATAACTTTTAGTGGTTGGTCTCATAACTTGCATAATCTGGAAATTGCAATATTGCAAACCTTCTTTAAAAGGTTACAGAAATATCTGATTTTGGACCATGTTATGGGCACTGATTTGTTATCTCATTCATAAGGGAAGGAAATGTACAACATCAGTGGTGGTGAAAACACAGACTGTTTTGCCATCTAGTTCATAGCTCCCTGGACTCTCCATGGATGATTGTCTATGAGTCTGTGGACCCCAAGTGAAGGATCTTTGCTCTGCAGACCTGAACCAAAGAACTATTGAGGACAGAGAAGGAAGGGCTAGTGGGCTACTCCACATTGGCATTTCCTAGGTCTGTTGGAGCAGGGTATTGAGATAGGGGATGCTGGTTTACTGTAGTCCATCACAAGCCAGAGTCCCGAGTTGTGTCACTGTAGAGTCATGTGACCTGATCCTTTGTAGCTCTAAGGTAGGCTGTTAGCCGTCTCTCCGCTGAGACTGATTAGAACCATTGTCAGAGACTGTGTCTATTTATTCTTCAGCCTTCTACATACTTGCCCTTTTATTTGTTTGAAAGAAATTCTGTCTTTTGAAAAAGAGTTGTAACCTTACTAGTGGGGAAATAGAAAGGGAGAGGGACATGGGTACACACACACACACACACACACGCACACGCACACGCACACGCACGCACACACACACGCACACACACGGTGGGGGGGGCAGGTAGCAATGAAACATCTTGAGTTCCTGTGTCTATGTGACCTATTAAGGTTCTCTTTCCAAAGAAGTTACTTTAACATATAGAAACAGATTTTTTTTAATGTTTGGTTATTTATTCTTAACCCCCTTTAGCAAAAAATTAAGATAGATTGACAATAATAGTACATAAGATATACTAGGAAATGTCAAGCAGACATAACTGGAAAACGAACTTGGAAAACAAGAATGTTGGTCATGTTGAACCAAAAGAATGTTTATGCAGTGATGTGGTTAAAATGGAAAGTCAAGAACCAATGTAATGCCTTAAAATTTGGTTAAATCAAGGATGGATCACTCGTGTAGTAAAATAGCGTGAATCACTAAAAACAGAAATATGTATTTTAGGGCTGACGGGTAGATGTGGAGGGACTGAGAGGTGAGTGGGACTGGGGTGAATGATGTGAAATTTCCGAAGAATAAATAAGGAATTATGTTTAAAATAAAAAAGAAATATGTTCTTGACATCCCATATTTACATGCATTAAGTGAAAAATACAGTTTCCAAGCGAGCAGCTGGCCTGCTTGAGCCTATTCTGCGTCCACTCAGAGGTCATTCTCTGCACAGATCTCAGCGTGGCAGTAGTGGCTCTCGCTCTTTCTACCCTCCTCTTTTGGTTTTCTATTTGCCTTAGCTATCTTTCTAAGTTTTAACAGGCTTATGTTTCTAAGGCAGTTTTGAAGAGTTTACGTTTGTTTTCTTATTTTAAAAGAGAAGGTTACACCAGTGTATTAGTCTCTGATCCTTCTCCTCAGAGGGCTGAGAGATTAGAGTTGAGAGTTAAAAGTCAGCCTGGGTTGTAGAGCGGGCCACTGACTCAGAAAGGACACAAATAAGGAAAGGGGAGGAGGATAAGGAGAATGGTTACAGCTGACAAAGGCAGAAGCACATGCGTACAAGCTCCAGGCAGGCTGTATGCTCTGCTCATCCTGTTTTAGCAGCCCAAGCCAAGAGGGAAACCTAGTCATTTAAAACTCTTCTCAGGGTCTATGATCACTGTGACCCAGTAGCCTGGAAGTATCGGAGGCCATCATAAGGAGTTCTGAATATGATGTATACATAAGAATCCATTAGAAGGTATTAAGAGAAATGACATGAGCTGTCTTTCACATTTAAGAAGTTCACAAGGGACCTGGAGAGGAAGCACACCAGTCCCTGAGAGGTTCTAGATGTGATGGACTTGGGCCGACAAGAGGAATGCCATTTTTAGTCACTTGCTCTAAATTATCCCCTAGTGGAACTGAGGAGATAGAGCATCAGTAAAGCATGAGGTCTTGAGTTCATCCCCAAAATCCTAGAAAAAATGCTGGGCCTGGTCGTACACACTTGAACATTAGTACTGGAGAGGCAGAACTGACCACCCAGTGAGCCTGAGTGGATGAGCTCAGGTATATGAGAGACCCTGTCTCAGAGAAGGTGGATGGCGTTCTAGAGGATGGCATCTGAGGTTGTCCTCTGGCTGCCACTTGCATGTTCATGCGTGTGGACCCACACACATGAGTGGGCACAGACATTCACATACTCACACGTGCACACAGACTACCTTCTTCTTTAAGTGGCACAGTGGTGCTCTGATCCATAGTTTGAGTTGTTCTGTCTTTAAGTATTTCAAAGTAAACACTTTTGCTCTAACTGTGATGAGTTTTCTGATTTCTCAAATCTTGACTAGTATTCCCTAAGATGGAAAACATTCTTACACTTCAATATTTTTATGCTGTGTGTAAAAATAGATAGCAAGTCATTTATCTTCTGTGAGTGATTTTTTTAAAGTTGTATAATTTTGGATCTTCAAATGTAAAAATTGGTTAATCACAGTATCTGTAAAGTAATGTATTTTACATCTTTAAAAATCTTCATCTGCTGCCTCTGGAAAGAGAGCTGATGAGCAGGCTAAGGTGAAGGCTGGAGTGTACAGCAAATCTGTGAATCCTAGACAGCTGTGCCAAATCCCACTCCTTTGCTAAGAGCTGAGCTGAGCGACAGGGGACTTTAATTACAGCAGCTTTTAGGAGGACGGAGGAAATGAAGGAAAAACAGAAGAACATTTGGCCTTGTTGGCCTAACTCGTGTTCTGATGTTCATCTAATTAAATCCCCATCTTTTCTTTACTCAGGGATCAATGAACAAGGACTCTACCGAATTGTGGGGGTCAACTCCAGAGTGCAGAAGTTGCTGAGTGTCTTGATGGGTAAGTGCAGCAGTGGCCTTGCCAGGCAGGTCCCTTTGGCAGCCTACTCCAAGATTTCCAGCTTGCTAGCTAGCCTCTGGGGTAGAAATCAATATGCAAGTGTTGATGCCCAGAAATCTGCCGTACTTGTGGTGGCTGTGGGCATTAACAGAAAAGAGGCTCAGAGTGGGCCTCTGCAAGACTAAAATGAAATGATAGGACTAAACACCACACCCAGTCTTCAGACTCAGCACCCAGCCCAACTGCTGCTTGGTTAGTCATGTGACTGTCACACCCTACTCAGTCTTTAATAGCTCATGACTCCTTCTGTCCTCTTTCGAGTCAGGTATTCAATAGGGCACACCCTATGCCCAAGAAAGGGCATCTTTCTAGCCTGTGAGGATCTCAGGGGCCTCATGTTCCTCATACTGAGGGTGTCATGTAACTCTCAGATAAAATTTTTATATGTGCAGATAAAACTCAAGATCCCCTTTGCTTCTAGACTTCAGGCTCTCACTTGAGCGGTAGAGCCTCCCCTGTCCCTGGCTGATGTATAAATAGAAAGTCACTACCTCCAAATGTGCAGTGTTTGAATCAAAATCTGTGAGCCAAAGTTGCCTAGGCTGCAGATACCCTGTATTTTTAGCTATGCAGCCAACTTCAGTGAGTCACATGGATCTAAATGTCAAACAGATCAAATTTCATAGATCAGGGGCTGTTGTCCATGTCCACAAAAGCCCAAGCCTGGTACTTGGGAAGATTGACTCTTATTTCGACCTCTACGTTGGCATCATAGGCAAGGGCCTGCTCTTGTGTTGTCATTTCTTTGTCATTCCAGTTTCTGCAGATAGCTTTCATTTGTGCAGAAGTCTGTTCCTTTAATGGACTAGAATGAGCCACTCACTGTTGTGTTCAAAAACTCCATAGCATTATGACTTACACCAGGACCTGCTGTTTGAAACCATGGTATCTGGGAGGCATTTCTACACTTAGTTTCCACTTTTCAGTTCAGATTTGGGATACAGTTAGTTCTTTTTTTTAAATTATTTTTTAAGACAATTGTAAGGTACACATGAATTGTTTAAAAAAAACAACACAAATGGGTATTTGGTACCCTTTATCCAATTTCCTCCACTGATAGCATTGTACCTGGCTGTGTTTCAATACCACAACCAAGTTACTGGCATTTCTACAGTCAAAATGCAGAGCGTTTCTACCCCTATAATGGCCTTGCCATGCCCCTTTATGTCTACTCCCTGCTTACCTCCTCACACAATCCCTAACACTGGCGACCGGTAATCTATTCCTTTTTTCCATTTAATTTTGTCACTTTGAAAGTACTTGTTATATAAATAGAATAATAGAATATGTAAGTTTGGGAGGTGTCTCTCTTTTTAGTGAGCTTAATTATTTCCAGATTTTTATCAACTTGTTGTATATATCACTACTTGTTAATATCTTTTTTAATTATTGAGTAGTATTCTGTTTTATGGGCATGCCACAGTTTAGTCATTCACCCACTGTAGAACTTCTGAGTTGTTTCCACTTTTAGGCTCTAACGAATAAAGCTGCTTTAGATAGTTAAATAGAAGATTTTATGTGAGCATATGTTTGTTCTCATAGGATAAGTGCCCAAGAGTGCTATTGCTGGACCAAATGTTGGTATGGCTTAATTTTGAGAAATCCTCATATAAGGAGGAATTAAGAGTTTAATAGGTGACAACCTCCAGTCTTTGTTTTCTGCTTAGCATCTGTAGCAGATTGTTCAATGAGAGTGATGTTAAGTTTTAGAAAGAACTTCCACCTTTCTCCGGAGTCCTGGTAGGCTGAGAGGTGCACACATCTGAAAGTTAGCACCTACTGTGACTTGGATCTGGAGATGGAATAGTGAAGGAAAGAGAACTCAGACTGAGCGAATCTGAGCAACGACAGTATGGCCAGAGTCTATTGATGCTGCAGGATTGTTCTGTAATGTCTGAGAGTGCTACTTGAGGCTGGAAGAGGGCGGTTAGTACTGAGCAGCTAAGGTGGTCTTTTTTTGCTGAGGTGTTTAGTAACTTTTTTCTAATCTCTCAAATGAAATAATGCTCTATTAAATGTTCTAAAAGTTATATGCAATCATGGTGAGAGTCAGGTTTAGAATAGTTCACAGAAAAAAAGGCATTTGCTTATGTAGCTGGACCAACTTTGGTGCCATCTTTACTCTGAGCCAATTCCCTTCTTTCTAGTTTCTTATTATCTGTGTCCTCTGTTGGCCTTGCCTTTGGCTTTGCTCTTTCTGGGAGTGTCCCAGATAGACCCAGGCATTGCAGTCCTTGGAGCTTGCATCATCCAAAAGAGTGTCTTTCGGGTGACAGTTTTGGCAGAAGGCCACAGGGAGGACTTTGATTGGCTAGTGTGAACCATTCACATGATAAACTTTTCATTTTGGAGCTAATCATATTGTCCTCAACAGATGGACGTAGATGGCCTGGAGCCTGTGCCTCTATCTGGGCCTGAGGGTAGAGATGAGGTTAAACCACCAAAACCCATGAACTGAGTAAGATCGTCGATGAGAAAACAGTGGACTATTTTCCTGAAGTTGCCACTGTGTTAATGCAGTGCACCTGACATAGCACTAGCAAGATTAGATTCCCGCATTAGGTGACAGAATGTGGAGTATGTATGTGACCGTAGAAGGGCCCTAGAAGATGGCAATAGGTAAGACAGAGCATACCTCATCTAGGGCTAAACCAAAAAGCTGGGGCTCTGTGTCCAATATTATGTATAAAGAGATCACCAAATGAGGCTTCAAATACAGTTCAAGATGATAATGGGAGGAGATACCATTGAAAAGAAATGCAGTGTTTTAGAAGAGTGCTAGTCTCAAGTGTTCCACTTTGGGTAAAAGAGATGCTCTGGAAGGCAGTGGTTCTAACCACTGCTCTCAACAGCCTTCTAACACGGTATTGTTCTTGCTATTTTCCTTAGTTGGCCTAGGTATAGAGAGAAGTGATCATGACCATCTAAAGAATGTCATGAAAGAGTAATAACTATCACCGACAGTCACAAGTCCATCATCTCGGGGGTGGATAAACAAATTATGGCACATCCAGAACACTGAATAGGGCTTGGTAACAAAGCAATTTAGCTACTACGCATGTAACAGCGTGACTGGATTTGAGGCATATTATACCATGTGCAAATGTTGCCAGGGGGTGAAGGTTATGGAAGAGGAGTAACTAATGGGGCTTCAGGAGCTCTGGGGGGTAGAGTTATTTAGGTTATAAACCTGAGAAAGCGTGGAACTGTGTGGTTATAGAGGAGTTAAGTGTACCTCAGTAATACTCACTTTAGACACACACACACACACACACACACACACACACACACACACACACAGAGTAGTATTGTACATGCTCTCATCCTCCCTGTCAAAAATGCAAATTAAAACAATGAGATAACTTTAAAAATCAAAAACCAAAAAATCTCTTTGATAATACCAAAGTCCAACTGCACATCATTATGAGGGTGTGATTAGTAGTCACAAGTAGATTAAAGATTCACACCTTCATGCCTACATTTTTACATAGGTACCTGAGATGTGAGCTCAAGTCTTTATGATTGCTTATCAGGCACCTTAGCCATCCAATCATCTCTGAAACCTTCATCGAGTTCCTTTCTCTGTTGGTGATCCAAGTGGTTTTCAGGAACTGGTTTGGTGTGCCCTTAAGACAGCTTGCGGTTAGAAGCACAGCTTCCACTCTGCGTGCCCTGATTTTCAGGGTTCATATGGTAGTGGGTGGAAGAGCAGACCTGGTCCCCACTCATCAATCACACGCCCTCTTCAGCACTGCTGCGCTCTCTGTGGATGTATGTCTCACTAAGCTCTCCCATGGCTGGGGAACAGGGTGGGGAGAAATGCTCAGCATTCTATAGACTTTGAAAACCATGCCCCAGAGATGGTCAGATGCCACCAGGAAGTGTCCATTAAGCAAAGGGAACCTCAGGAAGAAGGCATGGAAACAGGCCACTCTTTTGGAAATGGGGTAGCTGGGGTGGTTGTATCCAATTTAGCTTGGATATTAAATGAATTAAAATGGACACATTCATGTTGTGAGCCTTGCCTCATCAGTGCTATAAAAAACCTTTCAGCCGGACTGTAATTTAACTCTCCTCCCTGTAATGTTACACAATTCTCCTATGGTTACAGAGCCCGGAAAAGTGGAAGCTAATGATTAGTTTGCTAAATGCGGTTTGTGGAACAGTTCATGACTCTCAGACCTGCCAACTGCTGCTGATGTCGCTTCATGCTCCTTTTTCTGGGGTGGAAGTTGGCTTGTTCCTCAGGAAAAATGTACAGTGACATTTGTCTTTAATCCAAAACCAACAAGTGTGGCAGTGCTCATGCCAAACACAGGGCCTGGATGCATAGACTTCTGCAGTCTGCTATCTGTCTGTCTGTCTGCATGAGGAAAACAGGAAACTTCAGATGACAGAGAAGGAAAAGGAAGTCTCAGATCAGGACAGTGGGAAAAGTACATTTTCAAACCTTTAAGGATATTGGTTGTAGTAGAACTTGTGTGGGACTTGTCACTCTATGAAAACGGTCCTTCTTTGTTTCATGCTTAAAGAAAGTCATATTGCCCATGGTCACTTGTGAGGATTGCACAAGTGTCCTGCCTCCAGGAGTGGCAAAGTTTGTAAGCAAAAGTGCTTCTCTGCTTCTTCTGTAAATACATGGCAGAGGGACACCCTGCACAGCTGAAATTGTGCACTCTCTTGGGAATCACAGTTAAATTCTTAAGCCATTCATGAGTATTTGACCTCATCCCACTAGGACAAATGTGGGTTTTCTCATCAAACAGAAAAGTGTGTCTGGTGACTCATCTCCTTTCCCAGTGGAAATGCACTTAGCCCCGTAGGCAGAAACTCTTGCTTGGTGTTCAGTCTTGGGAACTATTGAGAAAGAGGTAGTCCGGTTTCAGTCTCTATTTACCTGGCGTGCCATTTAAATAGCAAACTGGAAAACCAGATCTAAACCACTGTGTGCCTTTTCTTCCTCTTTCAAAAGATGGGACAATTAATTAAAGGCACACCACTTCTCTGGTTCCTTGTGACTGGCTCAGGAATGGCCCAAGATCTGAGTCAAGGGGTGGGAGCTGGCTTGTTTGTTTAAAAGAGTATGCCTAGGTTCAAGTGCCGAACCTGTTTTCCACACCCCACAGTCTCTTTTCTGGCTCTGTTTGGAGGTTTTCTCTGAGGTTCTACGTGGTAGCACTTGGCACTTCCATAACCTTCCACCCGCAAGCACATCAGACAGTGTCTTGTCTCCTAGAAAAGTCATGGACTTTGTGGTCCCACACCATCCCTGAATCGGTCTCAGTACCCCAGGTTGTGCCTTTGAGCTGCCTGTCCTGACTTCACTTCCCAACCCTAGAAGGAGTAATAGAACATCCCAGTGGAAGTTGAGGCTTTGTGCAGAAAGGAAAGAAGGCGTGAGCTGGGCTTGCGGGACATGTCTCATGCAGTCTTTAGGAAGGGCAGGCTTTGCCTCCACTCACCGAAACGCTCTACTTCTCCTTATCCATTTGTATGTGTCCTGCCCCCTAGTGACAGTGGTGTTCGATGATCTATGAAGCTGTCCATCCTCCTGACCTCTGACTTCTATCTCTCACCTGTCTCTGTGCTGCTCAACACAGCTTCGTGAACTTTCTTCTTTAGCAATGTGTTTGTTTAAAATACATTTGCTTAAGGGTGCATGCAAGAAGAGGCTGGCTGAAAAGGAAACTAGCAGGAGCCAGCACAGTGGTGACGGTACTCACTCTACTTAAGCTGGGCTCCAGTCGATTGAAAAAATACTATAAAAGTAATGGAATCAACCCATACAACAATTCGGAAACTGTAAAAGCCACAGGTCTTACCACTTTAACACAGTCATTAGTGAAATTTGAAAGTGTTAACTGTTAGCCTCGTCTATGTTTCTCAGAAGTGTTTGAATTTTTTTCTTACCATTAAATAATACCAGCACTTTTCATGTCCTAAGTCATCAGTATCATGTAAATGGCAACAAGATATTCCATCACGGAGGTATATTGTAATTCACTTAACCATTTTTCTCTGGTTAGACCTTTAGACAGTCTCTTTCTTTCGTTTTCTCCACTGTTTTAAAGAAGAATGTGCCATGAACGTGTCTGGTTGGTAGCTCGGCTCACCCTGAGGTGAAGTGGGGAGGAATGGAATTGTTTGGAGGATCTGAGCATTTCCTGACTCAAACTGATACATATTGTCAAATTCCTTTTCAGTCTGTTGCATTGATATCAGATGCCTCCAGCTGTTTATGTACTGAGCACCGAGCACCTTCAGCATATTATTGTAATGATCGATATTTGGATTTTTGAACATCTCTCTGGTGCCACAGGCAAAATAAATGTCTCTTTTTTACTTTAATTTTCATTTTTCTCGTCAGTGAGGAGGCCGAGTGCTTTCATGTCTCATGTGTGGACATTTGCTGTTAATGTATTCTATACTTTATTTACTTCATTATGTTCTCTTCATTTTAGATCCCAAAGCAGCCTCTGAGTCAGAAACTGACATCTGTGCGGAATGGGAGATAAAGACCGTCACAAGTGCTCTGAAGACCTACCTGAGGTGGGGATTTCCACTTGTGAGCAGCGAGCCACTTAGCATGCTGTCGGGAAGAAAACACTTTTATTTGCAGCCTCCAGAGAGCTGCTGGGGGGGTGTTTAAGATGTGGAAACAGCTTCTGTGTGGGAGCATTAAGTTCAGCCAGTCAGGCTGATCATAAATTGCTCAGGGTTGATGGGCTGTCACTGTGTGATGGTACCATGAGCGATTTAGAAAGCCCTGCTGTTAATGAGATGTATTAAGATGATTAGCCTTAGACATGCCCTAAACTGTGGCCTCCACTGAATTATCTGTTAGGAAAACAAGAGCTCATGTCACTCCTTTCAACAGACTTGATCACATACCCAGTTGATTGTCACTGTTTTGTTTTTTATACAGAATATATTGCTTACATTGGTCCTTAAAAATGAGAAGGTAGATGTGGGAAAATTACCACTTGGAAACTACCTTTTGGTCTCTGCTGGTGTCGTTAAAATAAATAAAAAGAGGAGGAAGGGAGAGAGAAAGGAAAACTTAACCTGTACTCTTATCTATTATTATATACAATATCATAGCTTCCCCCAACCCCTTATTTGGACTATTGGCTCACTGCTCCCCCCCCCCGTCTCTGTCTCTGACACACACACACACACACACACACACACACACAGTGTGAGTGATCTCTGAAACTTACACTCAGTAGGAACACTGTAATTCTATGTTGTAGTTATACAGGAAGATGGGTTGTAGTCTTAAGCAGGAGAACTGCAATCATCTGTTGAGTAAGCCTGTATATAGGCTTTATGAAGAAACATGTGGCTAGGCAGCAAAGGAGATCACAGAAAAGGAGTTGGTAATGCAGGCTTAATTTGGGGCAGTGAGAAAGTGAGATGCTGTGCAAAGGGGTGACTAAGAGTTGAGTCAAGGAAGCTGGGCTGATGAATGAAATTTGAGCCACAAATGATGAAGTGTTTGATTATTGTTTGAAATATAAGAAAAAGCTTTTTTGTAGTTAATCATGTTCATACACAGTTGATACAATGTCCTGTATCCCTTTAGTACTTTAGAGTAATACTCTTCTTGGAAGCAAAACACCTACATGAATTTTTTTATAGTATTTCTAGAAGCACTGATTTCAACAACAAGCTTCTGAGAAAATGAGTGTCTAAGGCCGGCTGATGGAGACATGTGGCTAGTTGCTTGTTTCTCAGACATGCTGTAATGTGTTCTTGCTTGTGGGTGACTCACTGACTGAAAGGGGGTCTTTGGGTTTGTGCTGAACTTCTGTATCAGCCCTTGCTGCTCTGTGACTGATGCATGTAAGCACCTGTAACCCAGCATCTGGGAGGTAGAAGAACGATAGTGAATTCCCGATCAGCTTCTGTAACACAGCAAGATGCTGGTGGTGGGGCAGAGGTGAAGGAAATGGGAAGCTGAGGATTTCAGGGAAAAGGTCCCATGCTTTCATTCAGCACTGCTGCATCAAGGGCTGCTGTTTCTCAGTGTGCTGTGTGGAAGAGCCATGCTATGCTGTTTGGCAATATTCAGGATGCTGCCAAGCAAGAGTGGTCATCTTACTGTGGAAATGACTCGTCTGTGTCTATGCATTGTATTCTAGAATGCTTCCAGGACCACTCATGATGTACCAGTTTCAAAGAAGTTTCATCAAAGCGGCAAGTAAGCATCTTTGGTTGAAGTTTCAAGGAGAAAAAGAATAGATTTTTCTATTTCGAGGAACATACAGAATCCCAAAATAAATACTGTCTAGCCTGCCACATTCTACATGTAGAATGTCTGCAGGCAAGCTTATGAAATGGAATCAAGACTCACTACCACTTTGACTTTACAGTGGAAGAGACAAACTTCAGAGGTGTTTTTCTTGGCTGAGAAGGAGGGGAATAGAAGTAAGGAGAGAGGAGTCAAAGGCAGTTTTGCCTTTCTAGTTTTGATTATTGGAGTTGTAACTTCTTGGGTTTTTTCCCCACTCCTAAAGTAACATCCTACAGAATGAACCAGACATTGTACATCTCCTAAATTGAGCCTCGGAAGTGTTTCCCTTAGTATGACACCATTTATATAACTTCCCAGTTATTTTTCCACCATGTCTTCCATTTACAGCTTCTGATCACTCTTTGGTGCTATCATCGAGGCCCCTAGTTCATATTACTGGTATTGAAATACATAGGGATTAGGCTCAAGCTACCTGAAGTATATTGGAATCTGTCTACGTGGGGCAGTAATGGGGCAGTTAGATTCTCTGTCAGATTTAAACCTGGCAGGACTGGTCTTGGTATTATGATGCACATAGCTTGTGCTTTTCCATGGTTCCTTTTGGCCTTTGGGGTTTGTTTACCCTGGTAACACTACTGGCTTAATTTTACAGTACCTAATGTTCTGATAGCCTTATACACTTTCGTTTGTCCTCTTCAACAAGGAGGGGAAAGGCATGGGGGAATAAAGAAGGTGTTTATGTAAATTCTTTCTCAGGAGAAATTCCAAACCCATAGCAACCATTCTCTAATTAAACCTCACATCAGTTCTATAAATAAATGTGGTGAATATTAGCAATCTATTTCCCAAGTTTAATCTGAAGGTGACAGGCTATGTTATAAGTATTGAGTGACAGAAAGATTTAAATATTGTATCTATTACTGCTTTCTTTCCACTAGGCTGGTGTATTGCACTTAAGCACAGTGGTGATTTCTTTGATGCCTTTGGACACCTTATTTTGAAATTTGAGACCTTTGTAATGTTCGCATAAGATCTGTTTACCACTTTACAAGTGCATAAAGTTCCTTCTTTCCTTGAAATGAAGCTGGCCCTCTAGGGAGCCAACTGCTCCCGTGTTTGTTCCCTCCCTGGGTGTGCAGTTGACCAGCTCCATTTCATCACAGTCATTATTTGGATGAACTCTGATACAGAAACCACATTGAGAGGCCTTTCAGAGCCAGCCATGCTGGTCCTAAGCATGCACGCAAGACAGAGTTGTAAATCCTCGAGAACATCTTCCCTGTGTCAGTGCTGAGGCTTTAGTTTCCCTTGGTCTTGTCTTGTCCAGTCACTTAGCTGTGACTCCCATAAAACATTACCCTTTCCTTCCCAGAGCTGGAAAACCAAGAAACCCGAGTCTCTGAGATCCACAGCCTTGTTCATCGACTCCCAGAGAAGAATCGGCAGATGTTGCAGCTGCTCATGAACCACCTGGCAAAGTAGGTTCCTCTCCTACTGCCTCTCTTCCCTCACCCCAAAGAGTTGTGACCTTCACAGTGAGGTCACATGTCTGTCTGTCTCCTGCTGCTGTGTCAGGTAGGCCGGAGGCTCGGGAAAGAAGCAGGTGCTGTGGTAACTGCAGAGAACATACTTAGTTCCAGGTAGCCTTGGCCATGGCCTGCAGAGGGCCACAGTGTAGGTCACTAGAGGTTGCGGGGGATTTTGCTCTTGTGGTGTTCAAGGGCAATTCATAGTATATCAGCCATTATGTCAGGTCACCTGGAGCTTTGGGGTTCTAGATCTTCTTTTGATGATTGGGGAAGAGCAATATGTTGTATGGTTACAGAATTTGGATTTTGAACAAATAGTCATGGTGGTGGGTGAATGTGTAGAGTTTACTCACCCATAAATGTAACAAGAATTCTTCCCACCAGCATGGTCCCAGAGCCGCGTCAGTCCCAAGTGAACACACAGGACACTATATTAATTATGAAGCTGTTGGCCATTTTCTATGGTTTCTTAATGGCTAGCTCTGATTTAATTATTAAACCATAATTACTAATATATATTTTTATAAGGTCTTATCTTACTGAGAATGCCAGACTTGCATCCTATCCTCCCAGGATCACATGACGACTCCCTACTCTTGACTACGTTTCCCAGAATTTTCCTTGACTCTTAGTCCCACCTATCTTGCTTCCCTATTGGCCAGCAGTGCTTGATTTATCAACCAGTAGGACAAACATATACACAGAAGGACTTTCCCCCATCACATAAAGCCCTAAACTTACCAATTGATATGCTGTAATTCTGCCCTGCAGTGCTCTGCTCATGCCTTTATACCAATCCTTTGGGGTCAGTTGATACTCCTCTATGGGAGATTGTCATGGGTAGCTCTAATATACCTGTCATGCGCTTGATGTTACCTTTCATGGGGAGGTGGCACACATGTGTCTACCGTAAATAAAGATTTACAAGGCTATTATAAAGAATCAAAAATGTTGTGAGTGTTGGTAAGAAACAAGTGGTCACAGTCAAGGAATTTTCCACTATTGAGCTTTTTTCTTTCCTTTTTGTGATGCCATATCAGACTGTATATTTAAAAATAATTAGGAAGCACGGTTTAGAACATGTGAGCTTGCAGAGAGAATGTCCCCAAAATGTCAAAAGAACCCTGTTGACATTTGCTTAAAGTAACAGGAGTATGGCTTCAGAAAACAGCTCCTGATGCTCTGATACAAATTTGGTGCTGCTTCTGTACATCCCCAAGTCAGGCATCTGCCACCTTGAAAGCTGGTTCCTATTGTTACAAACAGAACTTTGCATACCTCAGGCAGACACTGAAATGGGAGGCTCCAGATGCACATTCAGCTGAGTTCATGAAGGGTGCCTATGAGTGGGCAGTGGCCCCTGAATCTGCAGGAGGCTGCGCCGTCAGCTGGGAGCAGCTGGAAAGCAGAAGGGTTGGAAACGAGACTAAAACAGTGTGATTGGAACGATCTTAGTTGGGTCGAGAGTTAATGGTGATCCATCAGAACCCACATTGAAATTCTTAAGACTCTTTCAGAAGAAAAGGGTTAAAACAATAAAAACAGTCCATCCTCTGCCAACTTAATACAGCTAGACAGAATATAGAGTTGTGCCAATGGTCTTACTTCTTGCCTTTTAACCAATTTATACAAATATATATATATATATATATATATATATATATGTATATATATGTTTTGTTGTGTTTTGTTTTCTGGGGTTGTTTATTCCATTGCATGTCTGGAGCCTTTTGTATTATTTGATGACAGTTGTGTTTCCTGATGTTTACACATTTGATGACTCCAAGTATGTTCCATACCCCCACACATATCATTCACAGTGGCTCATCCTTAACTGTAACAGTGTCTGTGCTCTGTAGGAGGATTTCAAAGCACTTTATATACATCAATGGTCACTATTAAAAGTAGCCTTTCACAGCTGGCTTTCCCAAAGCACTTACTGATACATGAATCTTACTCTTTGTTTTGATGCAATTACCCCTGTATTACTAGGCACACAAAGGTAGAACCTTATCTTGCCTCTCACAGGAGGTACTGTATTGCTTAGGATGCTTTAGGGTTCAATAAAGAGAAAACCTAATTTATGTCATCACAAAATGTCAATCCTGAGAGCTGGTTAATTTGTGGCTTCTGAACGACTTGGGTTATTTCCTGCTCAGCCCGCCTCCTCTCAGAGTCATGAGATGTTACATTGTCCCCGAACATCAGTTCTTGTCAGAAAAAGAAGAAGCCTGGTTTCTCCTTGAGCCTCTTTAGGAGTTAAGATGATGCTTCCCAAAATGTTCTCCAGAACTTGGTGTCCACAGTTTTTAATTTTTTTGGTCCAAAGCAATTATCATCAATGAGAAGGGAGTCATCATGATTAGGTTATAACAGAACCTTTACCTGGGCTGCTCTGGGAGGAGCAGCACTAGAAGGAAAGCAGAGCTTCCTGCAGGTAGCTCAGAGCCCCCTGTAGGCTGGCACAGTGTCTTCTCCATGTAGCCTTAGTGAAATACCTTCAGCAGATGCTAAGTTTGCTAGTGATATTTCTGTGGTGTGCTGACTCAGTCAGGGCACGTGGGACCAAACAGCTAATTTCTGCAGTTTGGGCTCCTATATACCAAATTATGAGGTTTGGGTGTAAAGAAGGCATAAGAAGGGCAGAATTGACTCTGTGCTATGCCCTCCCATTTCTGGTTATTTTAATCAATCTATTATCTGATATTTATTTTGATCATCCGTCATGTTGTAACTTTCTGAAAGGACAACAGTGTAGCAGTTGCAGCATTCATGACAGAATAATGGGGGCAGGCAAATGCTTGGCTCAAAAGAAAGAAAGGCTTTCTTTTTGGCAGAAGTTTCTAAGGATCTGGTGGCTTAGATTTTTTTACTCAGCCCTATGACTGAAGCCTGAGTACTTGCATCCTTGAAAATCAAGAAGAAAGTATTCATATTTATTTTAGGATCTAAAAACAGTGGGTTGAGCTCATGTAGAAATGCTTGTGGTTACAAGCCAAGGTAGGACTTGGCTCCAAAAAGGGTAGGACCTAATGGCTAAATAGCATTCCATGGTATTCTTAAGGGGTCGGAATAAAAGGAGGTGGGCACTAATACATGACACTGGCACATATTTGACATATATACTTTCTCCATCCCAAGCTTCAAAGATAAAATTCAAAAGGAACTTTGAACTACATGAGAAATGCTAGTGTTTTCTTTGCCACCAATGCTACTCCAAGCCAAATAGCTGTGAGAATTTATAGTTGCATTTGCTGCATTTTTTCTGATACAATTGCTATCTGAGATGGATGCTCCTGTGGCTTCTCAGGCTACTGTTCCATCAGCCATGTACCCCATCTCTCAAACCTATGTTCTTTCTAGTAGCCACTGGACATCCTACTGCTGCCAGTATGGAATTGCATGGCTGCTGGGCCACTGGTGATTGTGGCTTGAAGCCCGTGGACCATATCATGGATGCTAGCATAGGTTGGCCTCCACTGCCAGGTCTGGCTAGTTTTGATCGAACCACTCTATTTCTTGAATCCATGTTCTTCTATTTTTATCACTAACTCCCCTAGCTACCAGGCCTTCCCAGGCTGCTAGTAAAACCTTCTCCCTGGTTGTGGTAGCTGGCTCCCCTCTAGTTCAGCTCCCCTCCAGTGTGACCCCTTAGGTAGACAACATGGAACATAGTGTGTTTCGATATGCAATTTCTCTGCTATAAAAAATGATTAAAAACTTTAAGGCAGTTTCTTCATTATGATGAAATCCTCCACACAGTCTTAGCCCCTTTGGACTTTGAAACTCTGTGTCTTTGTTTCTCTATTATGGAATGCATTGTCGGCAGACATCTAGGGATGTTGGTGGAGTTAAAACATGAGTCGTCTCATGGTTATTCCTCAGTATCTTCCCTGATCCATCTTTTTCCTTTTGCAGCCCTTCCCTTCCTTCTGGAATGGCTGCTTTGTAGTCCCTGCCTGCCCAAAGCTACCTCACTCTAGCTTCAGCACGGATCCCACGCTTCAGCCCACAAGATTCCTTCTTGCTTCAAGCACCTCTCTTTCCTGGGCTCCCATTATCCTCTGTGGTTCCCTTTTTATGTGTATCGCTTTCTGCCCAAGGCACAGTTTGCTGAACGTCTCTTATTTCCATTAGATCAGAAGCCCCTGGGGGTGGCCAGTCTGTTTCCTATGCCATTCTTTCTTACCTAGAAGTTCCAAACTGGTCTCTGGCTGGAACAGGCCACATGTGTCCTGTTCTGTGGCACCGCCATACATTGTCGCTTAAAAATCTGAACAGGTTTCAGACACTTTTAAAGGGGATAACTTTACCAGAAAAATGCTAGTGTCTGTGTTAGCAGTTGACTAGAGCCGAGGAGAAGTCATGCTATGTGCCAGAGTGTGCTTCTCCAGTTTGCCGTGCTCCTTCAGAGCCCCATGGTCTCCTGTGCCTGGCCCGGTTCTTATGCCGCCTTCCTGCACAGTCACAGAGCATGCGTTTGGTTTCACTACCGGTCTGCTTCTCTCCAAAGGTAGAACCTGGTGATCGGGTAAACAAACAGGCAGAAATGGGCTGGCAGAATTGCTGACCCGGCTGACTGCCTCCTGTAGTTTTTCCTCATGATGCAGAGGGTACTGCTTCCAATCGTTTCCAGGCTTACAAGGCAAGGAGGAGTAGTTCTGTTCTGTTTGTTTGTCTTAAGACTAATGATTTTCAAAAGACCCTCTCCAGCTATTTTTGGCAGAGCTGAAGGAAAACTTATTTGAAGGGACACAGCAGAGAAGAGAGCCACCCATTTTAAAGCAAACAGACAGCTTATCAGGTTAAATTAATGGGAAGACAAAAATAATCAGAGATCAACCCTTATTTAATCCCATTGTCAAACACTTTCAGCTTAAGAATTTCGTGGTCTGTGGCTTTCAGGGTTAGGTGAAAGAAAGATACAAGTCTGATTTTTTTTGTCTTAA